TGCCCGCTTGTACCAATATTTATGTTTTCAAATAAAATGAAATAATTAGTGCCGTTGTGGTATAAGTCTAGGTGTAAACGATCGTGTCTACAATGGGCCGGTCAGAGTAGTTTTGTTGTATATTAGTAAAACCTGGCCTCTTCGGGTCGAAGATTTTCGTTGACCGATCTTCGATCCTAGAAGGATTGGTGGCATCCAGTGTGGACACTATGTTCATAGTGCTGAGATTTGGCAGTGTATGTTTGGGTTCTGTGTCGACGGTAACTTAATCGGTGGCATCATCTTGAAACATCCTCTTCAGTAGCCTGGTCACATTTTACCAATATCATCCAACAGCTTTTAAATTGATTATTATTTTCCGACGCTGATACTGAAGGGATTGATCTCAGAGTTCATCAGTTCGTTACACGATGTCGAGGTGCGGAAGAAAGCTGTCTAAAACAATCATCTACTGCCGGTGACCATAACAACCTGGTTGGGGTCCCTAAAATTTTTTAACTCTACCAATTAGGAAACTGCCATCCATGGCTTGGAATAGAAGAAAATAGTCTTCTTTTACACTCTTCATTTATTCCTCGTGAAATTTAAAGAAAAACATTCAGGGGTTGGATAACGAATTGACTGACCATATGAATATATATTAGAAGTTTGAAGCTATTACTTTTGTACAAAATATCCAATTGTAAAAGTATGTAGTTCACAATACAATCAATCATTATCCAGCTCTCCTTATTTTGTTATTATTTATTCTCATACTAAATTATTCTTTAATACTAGGGCACTGCTGATTAAGTATTTTCGCGCCACAACCAAATTAACAACAAAGTTTATTGAAATCTTCGTTTCCGATTCTTCATTAAGCAGAAAAAAAATTGACTTCCTAGATATATGTTTTTAACAATGTTTTTATTGAAAGTAGTTTAATCTTATCCGTATTCAGAATAAACACTTAAGCTTAGAAACATATTACCTCACGTTATATTTACTGGAATCAGTTAACTGATGTCGAATAAGTCGAAAGATTGGCTCGGCTTCTCAAAATATTTATATATAAATACTAAGTTGTTCTATAACAAATAAAAATAAGTTTGTAAGCAAAGATGACAATATCGGGGCAATACGCACAGTATGCACTTATACCATTAAGAAGTTGATCAATGGCAGTCCTAAACAACGACGAGAAGCTTCACGTAAACAATACCAAGTGAATAATAGACTTGTGTTAAACTTGAGTTCAACACAATGAACGTAACAACACTAGTCGAATCTTAATTCATAAAAACGTAGAAAGGACTGGTTCAATCTAGTTCAAAAGATAAAAAGTATATCAAACAATAAAAATACATTCTCGTATTGTTTGTTTGAATCTTCTAATTGATGTTTAGGACTGCAATTGTTCAGTCTCTTATTGGCATATATACATCCCATGTGGATTGCCTTTATTCACAAGCATTATAAGCAAAGATGGATGGTGTCTAACAGTTGAATCCAGAACACGCCTTCCATTTTATTTCGAACTCTTCAGCTGCATGAAACCCGTGTCCTGGATTCCACTGCTTGTCACCATCCATCTTTACTTACACTACGAAAACAGTTTGCAATACAATGAAGGAAATACATTTTAGTTACTCATAAGTAATATATAGTTATATATATAGTAAACAAATTCTAAAAGAAATAAATCTTTCGCTTTAGATTGAAAATGATGTGAGATCACAATAGGCTATAAACTTACTGAACTTATTTAATCACGAATTATAATTAATGGAATAAAATTTAAAAGTCATTTGATTCAGAAATTGACTGGCTTAAAAAATATACTCTTGATAATATCAAGATTTCAACAGTTGAGATCATGAGTCAATTGAAGCTAGACCACCATGGAAAACCTGGAAGCACTGGACGGCCGTCTCGTCAATTGATTCATGATCTCAACTGTTGAAGTTACTACAATCTCCACAGAGCCCCTTCTGATAATATCAAGATTGTTATTAATGCCTACATGTTAGATCCTCTGCTCGGTTATAGTCAATTACGAATAATTTCCGCCTCAACAATTGTATTTTGATTGAACCTTTACGTTTGTGTAACAATAATTGATCACATGGAAATATATATATATATATATATTGACATTAATAATCTCATTCTATGACATTTACCACACTATAGAGAGCTCTTATTATGAGAAGTTGTGAAACATTTACGAATTCATTCTCCATGACTAATTAGTTTAGATTGTAATAAAGAGTTTATGAAAGGAAATGTTATTTATTTTTCTTCTTAACATCTCCCTTATTGACTTATTTATTTACTTTTCTTTAAAAAAATAATAAAGGATATGTGTTATTCACTCTGTTGATCGAAGTTCTATCACTTCGTTTACTGTACATGAACATGATGGATTTAATCGAGTTGGTGCTCATCCAAGACGATATATATTTACAGGTCATTCAAATGGTACGATTCAAGTAAGTGAAATCTATAATTTTTTGAGTTTAGCATCGAAAATTGGTTGATATTAGAAATTATTAACTATTAGATTCTAACTGAATGCTTTAAATGATTATGCGCTCATCACAATATCCAGAAGTCTTGTAATCTATTTCATAATAGACTAGTGAATACTCATTAATGAATAATCTGACATTAGTACAAAATACCTTTTATGTCCTGTAGCCCGTCATTTATTACATGAAAAGATCTCCAATCAGGACAGTGATTTATATGACCCTGTTTCTGTAGTAAATCAATGATTCGTTAGGGATCACGAGAAGTCTTGAGTCAACCATGAGTTCTTATTGGCTATTCCCGCTTAGTCTTCCGTGTTGAGTACAGAACATAATCTTAGCTTCCACTGTATGAATCGTATATTTCAGATATATGCAGTTTATATACAAGCAAATCAGACCACAACTAATAAATCGAGAATATAGTCTAGTTACTTAATAGTAACCCAATAAGGATATATGTAATAATAGTCCATAAATAATTCCTAGTAGTTACCATTCATTTATTCTTCGTTAGGATATAACAATACTTGTCTAGTGTGTCCTGATTTTCAAGTTGATATCGTTTACTGTTGAACAGACCTTTTTCGTTTTTGTTATAACTTGTGACCTGTGTGCACTATTAATGGATAATGTAATGATACCGCCAATTAGAGAGCAGTGAATTATCAATCGGATCAATGAAGCGTAAAACCCGTACGAGCAATCTAAATTCCTTATTGGTCCTACTCTCAGAACACCAATTTCAGCCTCTGTAATATGAATCATTTTATTTCAAGCATACTGGGTTTATATACCAATCAGACAGACCACACCGTACCATAAAATTAGAAATAACATTTGTACAAGAATAAGCCAAATGCGGCTGTGAATGTGGGAGGTAGTAATGAATAGACAAGGCATAATTCAAGAATGGTAAATCGTATAATAATAGTTTGTAGGTCAAAATAAAGCTCATAATAAGAGGAACACAAATATGAATAGTTTAGTTACTTAGCAGTTATACGATAAAAATATACGCATATTATTGGTCTATAAATGGATCCCAAAAGTTATCACTCAATATTTTTATCGGGATATAACAATTTTTAAAACAAGTTTTTTTTTCTATGTTCTATCCACCTAAATCCGGTTATCTTTGAATACGATATTCGTCTATTAAATTACGGTTTATTGGAATTCAATCGGAAGTTAGTTTACATCATTGGATAATTATGGGAAAAAAACGAGCCAACTATTTCATCTTAAGTTGTAGTCTTACGATTGTGTTCACTTCACTCAAAAAATCTATTCGGTGTTGTGAACTTAAGACCTTTTTTAATTTTCAGTTAACTGATTCGACAGGAACTTGATTACGAGTGTGATGAAGGGCAATGACGCTATCCGGCTACCTAGATCAAAGTAGATGTGATCAGGTTTGAACCTGTGATATGATGCTTGAAAGTCGAACATGTTAACTACTAGGCCACTGCTTTCGTATATTAAGCAAAGAAAGATTAATGTTAACTTTTTAGATCACATTTATTAATTGAAACTATTTTCTTTGAAATTGGTTAGCTATTTTTATTAACCGTTGTTATTAATATCAATTTTTTAATGGTTGTTACATCAACACCTTACACTGTCATTTATTGCCCCCATATGCCCTGGTATGGCCGAGGGTGGGAAATTTAGCTCTTTCGAAATGCTCACACATGGCCTCGTGCTTACAGCCACTGACAGGGAAGTCCTACTCACTGCATTCAGAGGACAAAAAGCGAATGTCCGGCGCTTTTACCGGACTGGTGGGACTGGAAAACCCTGATTCCAAATCATTTGTACACATAGGCTCCAGGATCCTGAGGAAACAAATGGCGTGCGAACCAATAGACTGTCACCGTCCACCATGGTACTGCATCTTTTAACGTTGCTCCACTACCTTGTGGATCAAACCTTTGGGTCAACGGCTCCGTGTGTAGCCCCTAAGGAGACCACCTGCTTCGGTTTGTGCACCTGGGCAGTATCTCAGCACTCACACAAATCGAATGATTTATGTGGCACATATGTATTCGGTGCCTCCTTGCACCAATGACTATGAATTTAAATAAATAAATCTGTCAGGCATTATGATCTGAAAACGTACTGTTTAAATCTACTTACTAATCATACACTGCTGTTGAAAGTCTTAAGTTACATGATTCATTGTTTCGTAGGAGCATCTTTTCTTTTGACCCCTGTAGATTTAAAGAGCTTTACTTTTCATAAATATATTTTTCAGGTTCATTCGCTGTTTTACTTCCTAACATTAAATTTCTTGATTTTCTGGAAGAGTTTTATTAATTTCGAGTATAATCTTAATCAGAATTGTCCATCTTATTCCCTCCCCTCCGATCTTCAACAATTCTCCAGCTCTCCTCAATTCGTAATGGGAATTATCTTGGGAGTAGTTACATCGGAGAATATTATTTCTTCATTGTTAACTTGATCCCTGGCTGATACTACAGACTATTTTTGGTGCACTAACACTTTCTGACATCACAAAGTGTTTTATTAAAAAATCTCCCTCCACTTTTTTGTGCTTAACCATAGGTTTGGGATTTAACAACAGCATTGAATCTTTCAAGAACTGGTTTCGGTTTACCTGGTCCTATAATGACTATTCCGAATTCATCAACAATAAATACAGATGGAACATACAATTTTTCGCACGGTATAGTTTTTCAATATTTTATTTGGATTTTTTATTTCTCTTCATTTCGATTTTGTTGGAAATAATTCAAAGTGTTTGCATTAATAATAGTTCTATTTGTATGAACAAGTAACTTATTTTGTAGGTTATATTTACCATAGATTGATCTAAATTGGGAGTACCACTAAAAAGCAGAAAGCTCTGAACAGCTCTTTCATCTTTTTATAAAATTCTTTGGAATTTCGCACTCATGAACCCAACGAGGTCGAACCCAGGACCTTTAGTTTTCGCGTCGTGCAATCTCTGAGTAGTACGGTTTGCTTACTGAGTATGATTGTCGTGTTTTAATTAACTTTATCAGTGCTTATTGCAAATATAAGTAGGCTTTTCTAAATTATTTCACAAGCACTAAGTACGTTATTCTAGTGATCTTGTTTATGATAGGTCGTTTTCACAGGATTTATCTTCATACGCTTTTGGTTTTTCATCGGCTCTTCATTTTATTTTCGGTCTGGATTTGTCGAGATTGCTGAGTTTTAATTGGGATCATGAATCGCTCAATATTAGACGACCATTGAAAACCTGAAAGCACTAAACGACAGTTTCGTTCTAGTATGGAACTCTTCAGCAGTACTTGTCTACGGTTCCGCGCACGAGATTATAACCCAGGGCCTTCGATCTCGCCCAAGATCGCTTAACCTTTAAACTACTGATCCGACATTCAACAGTATTGATGCCGAACTTTACCAATCCACGATGTCACGCGACCATCTTTCGTTGTCTTCAATGGGTAATTGCTTGATCACTGGTCACGACTTCTCACCAGAACTCCGAGAATTCTCTCTTGATTCTAATCACTAGTGAACACATGATAAATTTCAGTTTGGGGTTGTAGAGATTGTTGAATTTCATTGAAATCATAAACCGACCAGTGTGATATATATATGGCGTACCATAAATTGTTTTGCTAATAGTTCTTTTTGGTCTTTATGCAATGGATTTTTTAGTCAAAACTGATTGCATCAAATCCAGTGATAACAGGTCAGAAAACATTTTCTCTCTTTACTTTAGAAATCACATCTTATCCTAATGGGATAATTAATAATATGAATTCTTATGGAGGGAACACTATGCTTATGATTGGTGCCAATTCTAATGGATTGTTGAATAATTCAAACAATGTTCAAATTTATCCTAATCATATTTATTATAATAATCAATGTTTATATAGTACAGATTATTATCATAGTTGTTTTATTGGTGGACCGACATCATCGGAATTATTAAGATTATTAGAAAATTGTCAGCTTGGTTTCTCATCTGGTGCATCCAGTATGACAGCTTTATGCTCAGAACGTTTAACACCGGCAGATTCATTAAATTCAATTATTCACCATTCAGGTTTGTGATATTGATTTGGAAAATTTTTCATTTCTCGCCCTCCTCCTCCTCCTCATCATCATAAGGAGATTGTTTCCGAACTATTTATATACCATCACCTTATTGACTTTTTGATTAAATCATCCAAAACTTTATTTTTAATATTATGTAACAATCATATCAAATATATGATTTAGAAAATCTCTTTATTATCTAATTAACTAACACATTGTTCTGTTTGCACAATTTAGGAAACATTATTAATTAGACACAAACTACCAGTTTTGTACTCACTGTATCTTGTCGACCGGTTTATTCTTTATTTTATTTTATTTTATTTATTTAATGAATCGAACTGAAAGAAGGGTTACTGTTACTCTCTCTCTCCTTCTCCATATAGTATAATCATTGCATTGTCAATCAACATCATTAGATCCTTTTCTTTCTATCAGTTTCATTCATTTAATTCTGTACTCATTTGGTTATTCTTATTACTTTTTTTTCTCTTTTTTTTCTTCATTCCTTGAAATAGTCTTCATTAATTGGATAGTTTCTTACATTAACAAAGATTAAGTAATACTTATTGTAATGAATAGTGTTATTCATTACTATGTATGTATTGATTTATATGGTTTGTTAAAAGAAACACTATTCACTTATTATTTCCTGTTTATATATAGTGACAGGGATTATTATTATTATTAGTGTATTGTTTAATCCTTTTTTAAGTTATGTAATGAAGATTATATTCTTTACATGATTGATTGATTGATGGTTATTTGTTAACTGATTGAGTGAGTGTTGAATTTACTTCTTGTTTTCTGTTGAAATTTCAAATAGTAAATAATTAGTTTTTAATAGTTGAATTCATGAGTCAATTGAAACTAGACCACTATTGAAAATCTGGAAGCATTGGACGACTGTTTCGCCCTATTATGGGACTCTTCAGCGGTGCGCATTCACGATCCCGCCTCCCGTGAGATTCGAACTCAGGACCTATTAGTCCACGCAAGCGAGCGCAATGCTGAGGAGTCCCATACTAGGATCAAACTGCTATCCAGTGCTTTCAGGTTTTCTATGGTGGTCTAGCTTCAATGGACTCATGAATTCAGATATTAAAAATTACTATAATATCCACAAAAATCCCTCTCCGACAATAATTGATGCTTACAATTTATGAATATTTAATGTTGTTGGAAGTAAAATTTTCATTTCATTTCATGAATAGTACGTGATATTTTTTTGTTGAGATTACTGAGTATTTTTTCTTCTCCATCTTCAAGTACTTTATTTATTTAATAAAATTATTTGATTATCATTTTACTTATATTGTCTCGTAATGTGTTCTAGAAATTAGTTGATAATATTATTCGATATCCCCCCAAAAGAGTAAATAACGTGGTGTGATTTAGCATTAAATGATAAATCGGTTTACTCCACCTGAGTTTTTGTTCACTACATATAGTATCTCTTCCAAAGGGGAGGTTGAGAGGGTGCAGTTCTGTGGTCGACGTTGCAGGTCCGGGAGAAGAAGCGCTAGTTAGTGCAGTCGTATGCAGAAAGGAGACATCGAGTTAAGTGCTCTGTCGGGGCGAAGTTGGGTGTAGCAGTCGCTGTTGACGGGAAGACGACGCGGGACGTTCCGGGTGATGGGTGGATGTTGGACAAGGCGTTAGACGTCCTAAGGGCTTAGTGGACATCGGGTATAGATTGCCCGGCAGGTCGACTGAGCTACGAAGGTTAGCGAGCCAAGGGTTTCGATATTTTGACGGGGAGTATGGCACAGACTCGCGACAAAGAGGAAATTGACACGACTATCAGAACAAGTGCAGGGGCAACCGTTTAAAGAGGGTTGAGTGTGGTGTATGCTACTAATGTTGTCAGATATAAGTAGTATGTAGAAGCAACCGGAAGTGGAATGCCTGCTAGGCAAAGATTGAAATGAAGAGAACGGGGAGGAAATCGGAGAGCAATCGAAGTAACAGCAGAATTAGAGGAACTGCGCAGTATGTAAAGAATTACACAAGGAAGCTGTGCAAATGATGTGCTTAACGTATGATTGGTGAGACTATAATTTATGGACGAACCAATCAGATTTGAGGTAAGAAGTCTTAGATTTTGGCACGAAATTCATCCATTTATTTGGCTTAATAGAATTTTGGCAGTATAGCTGACGACAGTTGTTCTTGGTAAAAACCCTAAATTTAATTCCTAACTCTAAAGTACAGCTGTAAATCCTAATGCTAATTCTTCACACTTATTTATAACACAGTAAGTAGACATTATTAAGGTCAATGTAGCGTCACTCAAAGGGCTTCCACAAATTATAATCTCATCGTATGATTTTCATATTTTACCAAACCACTGTATGATTTTGCATTGAACAATGAATTGGTTTTCCCCACATGAGTTTTTGATCACTACAGTACCATTAAAAAGCTTTTGCCGTAATATATATTGATTTAATCATTTTTTCGGGGCTATTACAACACCATTGAACCCATAATTTTGAATAAAATAGTCTATAAGTTTGGATGATCGCTAGAAGTGAAAATTGGGATGTGCGTTCCGTCCTATTTAGGACTTGCACACTTGATCTTTTAGCATCCCAGAGTTGGTTTTGGACTTGAAACTCTGTTTGTGGCAAATATAAATACTTAATGAACTCTTTCTGTATAGTTAATTGAGAATTTCAGAAAAAAGACAACTGGTTAACCCGTCATTGTAACGATAAATAAAACTGAAGGAAATCATTAAATCCTTTTGTTTCTTTGTTTCTATCACCGAATATTTTTTAAAATATTATTATCATCAGCTTTATTCAGTATTATATTTTTGGTACAATATAGAATTCTCAGCGCAAAGTATTTCAACAAGTTTCCGTTTCTTTCTTCTTGGGCGGTCCTGGCGATAAATATTGAATGATCACCAGTTAGATGTTAGCAGTTCAGTAAATGAACATATGAATAATGTGCATTCTTTTCGTTGTGTATTGCCAGCAACCACATTGCTTTTTATTGTGTTTTTTGTAACTTTGACAACGAAAGGTTGTACACTTTTCAGAAACGCAACAGAATACATCATGCGATTAATAAACATAATGAAAAATTAAAACAAACAAAAATAGATAACTTGTTGAAATATCTAGATGGCAGGAACAGGTAGCCCAGATGCTCAAGCAGGCCGCCTTTTATAGTCTTTTGTTATCTAGAATGTCAAAATTAAATGTTTTAGTACTATTATTAATTTTCAAAATCGTTGAGACCATAATTTATGGACGACCTCTGAGCGACACTAAACTGACCTCGAGAGTGTCCATCTAATAACCAAGATCAAATGAGGGTTATAAACCTGTGTTAGGAATCGGAATTATGGTTTACAGTTGATAATTCAAGTTAGAAGTTAGATATAGGGTTTTCATCACGAACTGACATCAACTATAATGTCAAAACTATATTTATCCGAATGAATGAGTGAATTTCGCGCCAAAATCCGAGACCTGTTATCTTATACGCGATTTGTTCGTCCATAAATTATAGTCTCGCCTCAAAATCTTTTGTCGCTTACTAGTTATGCTTCGTAAAAATGTTTACCTTGCACAATCATACAACAAAATATGTAAGACTCGTTACATACTCAGTTCTTTTCAGTCAACCCAACGTCACAAAAAATCAGACAAAGATTAAAATAAACTTTCATCATATGTACATTAATCACATTTGTCAGACCTACAACACCACCATTCACAAAATAATTCCAACACATAATCGAGTCGGCTTCTTTCAAAAGCACATTATAAAGAGTTCATAACAAATGAATGAATCTAATTCTGTTTGAGAATACTACTGACTGAATCTGAAGATTTTAAGTAACAAAACTATAATATATTCGATATCAGAAAGGGTTTTGTGGATATTATAGTAATTTTCATAGTCGAGATCATGAGTCATTCGAAGCTAGATCATCATGGAAAATGTGGAAGCACTGTACGGCCGTTTCAATCGAGTAAAGGACTCCTCAGCAGTGCACGTCCACGATCTCACGTCGAGAGATTCGAACCCAGGACCTATCAGTCTACCTCGCGAACGCTTAAACACGGAATTACTAAAATTACTATAATATCCACAAAATCCCTTCTGATATTAATCAACACATGCTCACTAGTGACGGTACACAAGAGGTATTTCCTGGAGTTCCAGTCGGAAGCAGTGAACAGTGGAGTTCAACCGGGTCTGTTGTGAGATAATAACTCACTGAAGTCAATGGTGGATGTGTCTCTTAATTTCGTGGATTAGTTGAAGTTAGACATTAACACAGTATGATGCCGGCCGGCTCAGTGGTCTAGAGGTTAAGCGTTCGCGCGCGAGACTAGTAGGTCCCGAGTTCAAATCTCGCGGGGTGCGGGATCGTGGATGCGCACTGCTGAGGAGTCCCACAATAAGACGAAACGAATATCCAGTGCTTCCAGGTTTTCCGTGACGGTCTAGCTTCAATTAACTCATGATCTCAACCATAAGAATTAAAATATATTCAATGTTCCTAAATTACAGTCGTTTCAATATACCAACAAATTTATCATGAGAGTAATTCGTGTTTCTTAGTGTTTTGTTTGAGAACGTTTTAATGTGAGTTTGTTGAGAAAATGATTATTAATTGTGTTAAGTAGGAATCAAATTTCAAGTTGACGAAAATTGGTTTGTTTGGAAAACTTCAAATAAAGATTCACATTATAATTACCATTAGAAATAGGATACATTCTCTCCATTGTAATACTATGGTATAAACTTAAATGAGCTTTGAACATGAGTACAGCATCATAATGTAGAGTGGATTCCAATATCTGGAATATTTATTAAATGTATTCGAGGAATTATTAACATTATTTAAGAATGTGATATTCATCATGAATAGAAATCAGTAGACAGTACTGTAAGAATTTAAAAAGCAACTGCAAATTTGCTACTTCTTAGCATAAAGCTCTTTACCATTAGAGACCCATGAATCCATCAGAATCTAGGGAAAATCAAGTTTCTGAAGGAGCACTACACACTTTGACTGAAGGATTGGATCTAATATTCAACATGCACAATTTCAAATAATAATAATAATCATATTATCATCGAATATCAATCTTTGTCTTATGGAAAGTATTCATAATCTATGAAATACATAATCACAATAAAGTTAGAAGGAATGTTTGAAACTGGATGTTTACATATTTTCATATGTACATGCATATGTTGCAATCCTTGTATTTTCTAGCTAAATATTCATTCCCTACCGGCTTTTCATGAGTTTTCGTATTTCAACTGATATGGTATTTTTTTTGCCATTTCATAGTGAAAGTAGGTTCTATAATATTAAAGCCTTAATAGAGAGTATTTAGTGGCCCGTGGATCTGACTCCTATTTAGATCGTATACATGTTTACTATCGCCTATTCTCGTATATAATCGTTGACTTAAATCACGTTATCCAATAACGAAATTAAATAAGTCAAATAACGAGAATAGGATTTTGAATACATATATTTTGTATATGAGGTGAATGGAACAGAAGGAAGAGAAACGACCCAGAGTGGAGATGGCTGGTAGGCCAACTCATTCTTAGTCAAGTGTTACTCAATATTTATAGTCAGACAAAATTAAGCTACAGACATGCAATGAGTCATGGGATATGATGTGTACACACATATACGCTCATATAAAAAACAATCAAGACTGACAAGCGAATAATTGACAACATCAAAGTATGACTCAAGTAGAATGAATAGAATGGAATGTCCGAAAACTAGAATAAGATATATTATGGGCTAAAACTAATGTCTAGCACTACAAGTATTTGTTATCAGTGTGATTGTGTTATTTTGATCCATATGTACAGTTTTATTATTTTATTTAAAAGTCATAGCAACCAAACAACTATGTTTCAGATGTAAGATATGTCCAGTGAATCTTTAAGTGACAAAAAGTCACATAGATCTGTTGAGTTTCATATATGCAAATGGAGAATTTTACTTAAGGAACTTAAAGAGTTTACGTTACCGCTATATTGAACCAAAATCTTAGAATTTATATCTGTGCCTACCTGGTTATAGATAAGAAAAATGCAACCTAGTTATCCTTGATTTCTAATTACTAATCTGAAATGAAGTTTTGTATAGCAGTTTGTACGAAGATCTAGAATTTTTGTACTTATTAAAACTTGAACATACAAAGCATTATGAATAAACAAAGCTTAGATACTTTGTTCGTCTGGACGGCAGTATGAGAGTGTTTGAGGTATACCAATGTATAGACTAGTGTATCAATAATATTTGTAACCGATTGGTTAGTGAATAGCTGTCAACGTACATTCCGCCTTTAGTGCTGATCGAATTCTATCGAACA